TTACTCGTCGGTAAAAGGAAGTGATATCAGATAATGAGATTCGGTGTGGAACGTTAGAAAGGGAACCCAACATGTTCATAAAGCGCAGCTAGGTGCATCAGCTAGGTGTTCATTCCAAAATATGATATAGGTCATGGGACAGGAATGCGATTGATAGGTGACAAGAACTGTAAGCTGCTAATGAAATTCGACAGGGGGCGTTAATATGGTAAAGTCGGCGCATTCGCAGCGCGAATCATAGCATCGGCGGAACGTAGGCTCGCGCAAGTGATATAGCGGGGGACATCAGCGGTAGGTGACAAAACGATATAGTCAATTGGCAAGGTTCGTGAGGAGCGCTGCAGTCATCGTCGTTGTTCGGAATGGTGGTGCTTTCACACTGCGAAAATCTGAAAATTTAGTGGTTAGGGCGCGGATGAACGGATGAAAAGTGATCACGTTAATTGATAAGACTAGATAAAATCATCTTCACCACATTCCGGATATTAGAGACCCAGCGTAAAAACACTTTCCTTGAGCCATCACGATGTCAAGAATGTCAGCACAATCAAAATAGACATCAGCAGAACCAAAATAGACCATTGACTATATGCTCTTGGATGGGGTTGTCGAGCGAGGGGAGGGGATGATGCGCCTAAAATGGGAGGAAAATCAGCAATCAACAATAATCGAAAATTTCTGCGGAAGTCTGCCTGTTGTGTTTTTGTAACGATGATAATTTAGAAGTGATAGGTCGCAATAGAAGCAAAAGAACGAGGGAACAATAGTTTGGAGCGGGTGGTAATCTTGTGATTTTGCGATTCGAAGAATAGAAAACGTCTGCCTACCGTTCTTGATACCCTTTATGCAGTTTGCCGACAATTTTGTTCCTTGAGAAATCGAACTCCACGCATGTGCGTAACTTTATCGATGTGCAGTGTTAGTTTTCTAATGAATAGATACACATATGCACCTATAACAACGAGTAATGTGGATAAATGACCTATTTTAGGCGGTCTACGTTGGACTTTTGACGTACTCGGTATTTTTCACGGATATTCCAATCGGATTTGATACGACGCATCTGAGTCATGCCTACGATGTGGTTAATAAGATTACTGCTTGTCCACTGAACTCATCAGTGTTGTAAGCAGCAATTTTCAGATGTCTGCGTATCAGCGATTATTTTTTGGATTGGCGCTAACCTTACGGAGTGAAAAGTTTGATATACTGATGAGACGAAGAAAACGAATTGTACGTGTGGTTGACCGTCAAGTCGCTTCCAGTTATTACAAAGATCTCAAAACGATGTGGTCATGAAAGGAGCCATGATATCGATAGTGCATTTATAAATCATATTGTTATATGGCATCTGTCAGATTTTCGATTAATTATGCAACGTTGCTCGTTTATTCAGTGCGATCACCTTGAATTTTCTTGAAGCAGAACAGCTGAAGGTTCATTTACTCAACTAGTGTAGAGGTCCCTTCAAGACTTCTATAGGTATGTGGACATGCATGACTGCAGATGAGAGACGAAAGTATTTGCTAAGACATTTCGCTATCTGAGAGCTCCAGAGACATACTGTGATTTGTTTCCGTCTAAGGGGCGCTCCACATGTAGGCCACGGATTGATTGCGGTAGCTGCAAGTTTTCAACCACGATCATCTCGGATCTCTACACCATGCACTAAAGCTGACAGGCCCTCCAAATGTCCAAAGCCTAAATTGATATTAACTTTTTTCATTCAGCTAGTTGTTTTACTTTATTGATTACAATGGGTTTGTAGGGAAAATATTGTTGAGATTTTATGAGGTGGTAGGAGCAGAATGCCTTGCATATAGTTCCAATCAGGGATCAGTAATGGGTTCCGTTGTGAAACTTATTTCCAGCTATCCTCTATAACAACCTTCCCTACGATACTCTCTGAGAAATGTAGATGAATGCACGTAGCTAACTATGTCACTGCTGCTCGTTGGCAACACTCCCAACCCGTGCGATATCTCTTCCTGAATCTGAGCATTCCCTGCACCCCTCGTCATGTGCTGCTCCTGTAATCTTACCGCGTTTTCTAGCATTTAAGCAGCCAAAGCCCCAAACTGCTACTTGAAGTCGCATGTTTGTTTGTGCTTAACGGATGCAGCCAAAAAATTTGAACTGCTATTTCATCCCGCTGCTCTTGGTTTCCATGAAATGATTGACAGGGTTCCGATATCCAGTGAGTCAAAATGCGTAATGTACTGTTACCACTATTGCGGTGTCGCACGCACTGAAAAGATTTCCAGAAAGAGATGCAAGGACTGAAAACTCGGCAGTGAAAAAGTCGCAAAATTGTCCAAAGGGCCTGCTGCATTGTTTGCCGAGTTATCGTGTACTGATCACTTCAGAAACAAGCTGCCAGTGAGATGGGCGGCATTCGTGGATAGTCACACGGCTACTATTTTGTTGATTCAGGTCGTGCTCTACAATCACCTGTATCGCCTGCTCCCGTTGATTCATCACGTCCTTCGAGCGGCGTCAGTAACGTCTCCATTCTTCTCTGCAACGTGCAGGAGTTGCCCAATGAACTCTCTCTGCTCGAGGGACACAAAGAACTTCATACCATTCGATTGGAGCTTTCACCGAAAAGAAGTCTACGCCATCGTATAACGGCGGTCGTCCAGTGTCGCGCTTGAATCATCCCGTGGAATCCAGTCCTGTGATCTCTAGTCGACCAGTCGTCCGCGAAACGCAGCTTGGCAAATGCTGCGGCATCTCTGATCTTCAATCGTCGGCGGAGTGTGGAGTTCCGGATTCCTCTCTCATTTGCGTGTAGCGGGAAATTTCCGAGCATCGCCCTTTCGATATCGCGTTGTGATAATCCAACTCTTATAAACTGTTTCGGGCAGACGTCCAAGTCCTCCGAGGCGTAATGTCAAAGCAGGAAGAGACGGCGGAACCGAAGAGGTGGGCACGAAGCCTGGTGTTCTTCGTCGATGCTCTTGGAAACTCCCAAAGCCGCTCGCTTCCTTCTGCCCAGCTCTGGTGCTAAGTCATTCATCATATTGACTTCCCAGGGACACGTAGCTAGAACATTCAGAGATGGTCGTTCCGTTGAGCGTGAATGGGGCATCAGAAACCAATCCGTTTCTCATAACATCGTCTTCGTTAGATTCAGCCGTAGACCGATTTTTCCACACGCGCAGTCGAAATCAGCCAGCATTCGTTCCGCTTGCTCGATGTTTGGTGTTATCAAAACGATGTCGTCAGCAAAGCGGAGATGGTGTAGTTGCCGACCGTCGATCTTCACTCCCATGTCTTCCCATTCCAGCTGACGCATGACGTTCTCGAGAGAGGCGCTGAAAAGCTTGGGCGAGATGGTGTCGCCCTGGATCACCTCCCTGCCCTCTCTGCACGTCGATGATGATCTCCTTGTAGAGCGGTCGCGAAGTTGCTGGAGAGCTCATGAAGAATCCTGATATACTGAGTAGGAATAATGTGGTTGCCCAGAGCTTCGATAACCGCGTCTTTCTCAACGGAGTCGGAGGCTATCTTCAAAGTCGATGCCTTCGATAACCGCGTCTTTCTCAACGGAGTCGGAGGCTTATCTTCAAGTCGATGAACGTGAGGCATCTTGTACTCTCGCGATACTTCGATGAGCTTCGTTACCGTGTGGATGTGATCGATCGTGCTGAATCCTCTTCGAAACCCTGCTTGCTCGCATGGCTGTCCTTCGTCTAGTGTTCTGCCAATCCTGTTCAGGATGACTCGTGTGAAAAGTTTGTAGACTACAGCAGCAGGCAGATTGGGCGATTATTGCCAATGTCTTGGTAATCTTGGAGCTATCTGACTTCTTGACGCAGTCGTGAAGATGTGCGACAAGCCGTTCGTATTCCTCGTCGATGTTGTCGATGACGGAATCCTCCCAGAGCCCAGCGAGAGAAGTGAAGTGATCCCAGTTGATGGTCTTGGGGCTTCGCTTCTTGAACTTTGCGGCTCTCTCTCCTCGCATCGAAAAGCGGAATCTTGCGCGAAGGAGACGATGGTCGGATCCCGTGTAGAACTTAGGGACAACAGCGACATCGGTCAGGCAAAACCTTCGATTGAAGATGATGTGGTCGATCTCATCATAAAATTGTCCAGCGTAGAGTGCAGGGCTTCTGGAACTGCGAGTTACCATGGATGGTATGGGTCGACATGATAAACTCAGACAGCCTTTCACCCTGCTCATTCCACTCCGTTCCGTGAGTTCCGATGTGAAGTTCTTCAGCCGTTCTTCTTGGTCCGATCTTAGCGTTGAAATCACCGACGATGACCTTGAAGAAGGTATGATCTTCCTTGTAGAACTTCTCCAATTCCATATAGAACGCTTCGAGCTCATCCTCGTCGTAGCTTGATGTTGGTGCGTAGGCGACGAAGATTGTCAAAGCTGGAGTTGAACCACATCTTCTCAATCGCAAACGTCCGATTCGGGTCGTCAGATTTTCGTACGAATCGATGTTCATGGCCAAGTGCGTTTTGACGATGACGCTACTTGATCTTCCTGGCTTGCAACATCAGATCTTCGATGTGAGCTTCCGATGCAAGCGTCCGTGCGTTGAAAGTACAGATCGTCATCCTAGTCCTGGGCGACTTAAATCTCCGTTGGCCCTGTGATTCTTGCAGCCTCGCCCGAGCGGTCCCAGCCGACGTCGCCCTGTCGGTGGTTCCCTCAGGTTCAGGGGAATGAGGCCCATAATTTACTGTTTTCGGCGAGAAGAAATTTGACCACGCGTAGCTCGCCAGGCTCTGACGTGGCACCCTCCGCATTGGTACGGTTTGGAACAGTCCAAACCGTTCACCCCCACGCCACGTTGAGGCTGCGGATAGGATTTGTGGGGGTGCTCTACAAATTATTGTTGATAACATGATTTTTCAGCGAAGTACCAGAAAGACTGCACTGAAAAATGCGAGTAAACTGATGCGGAATACCGCTCGTTCGTCATGAATAGTTGATCGCGGGCTGTCAGGAATGGTATATCCACTGTTATACTCGCTCACTATTTCTTCTGCTGGCCACTGTAAACCTGCTCGCTGCTAAAAAAGATTGGAAGCGTCATTATATGCTCAAAGTGCTGTTCTGTTCTGCCAGGTAAAATCAGTTCAAGCTCTACACGGCAATTCATGACCAGGAGAAGCATCCTTTTGGAGTGATCTCAACTTCTGCAGTGCCTCATTTGCAATGCACTAGGAAGAAACTTGGAGCAAACGAGAGTTGCGCCCCTTTCACCAGTTTTGTGAGGTTTTAAGTTGCAACTACAGCATTTGTTTCCGCTAATGAAATAGACCTGAAGAATACTACGACAAAAAAAAGAAGTAGTTGCCTGAACTTGTTGTCATGATAGACTGGTGCATATTCCGATACGACGAGCAGCTACAGCATTCGGGATGGTGTAATGGGGTGCTTTTTGGTCTAAATGAGTACATATTAGGCAGCGATTAGACTTCGCGATCGCGCAGCCCAGCGGCACAATTGAGTGCCGCTAGGCAAGGCGATCGATCGAGCCGCTAGTGTTAGCTGTCGATTCTGTGGCGCGACTGATTCGATCGCGCTCCAGTGCAAAAATCAGCAGGGCGGATGCTAATTTACAGCCATTTTTGCTTACTTTTTGCTCCTTTCTCCTCCCGCTTGCTTCCAATAGTTTCTTCCTCCTCGTGGCGCTATTATTTCTAATCTGCTTCTATTTGTGCTTTTTACCTTTGAGCATAGTGAAATTTTTCAGATGCATTGAAATTTTTTGGATGGACGGCCGTTCTGCGCGCAACTTTTCTTGTTTTCGAGGTGGGTTTTTCAGGTTCCTGCAGTTTTGGTTATCTTTTTGATTCTCATCAATCATATTGTGTTTAGCTTGGTCGGCAGCTCAGCAGCATAGAGAAACCTTTACCTGTGCGATAAGTAGTTTTTTTTTGTTCCTATTTTCTAATAGTGTTGCGTCTTGGTTATAATTAAGTTCACTATGTCTTTCTGTCCTCACAATACAATTAGAAAATAGGAACAAAGAGAAATGCTGAACTGCCAACCAAGCTAGCTAATACAATATGATTGATGAGAATCAAAAAGATAACCAAAACTGCAGGGAACCTGAAAACCCACCTCGAAAACAAGAAAAGTTGCGCGCAACGGCCGTCCATCCAAAAAATTTCAATGCATCTGAAAAATTTCACTATGTCAAAGGTAAAAAGCATAATAACTGACAAACAATAGAAACAGATTAGAAATAATAGTGCCAGGAGGAGGAAGAAACAATCGAGAAGCAAGCGGGAGGAGAAAGAAGCAAAAAGTAACCGAAAATGGCTGTAAA